CAAGGACCAACAATATCATAAACTGGAATAATCCAATATTGTACTTCTTAGAAAACCCTTCAATCAACAACTCTCAACTGGATAATAGTGTCAGATGGTGCAAAAAGATTCTTAGCATCTTCAAAGTATATATAATAGTGAAAAGCTCATCAGTACTAAAAACATTCGACTCCTTTCACTGTTCTCAAGGCATTAAAATTATCATACAGACTTGAAGAATATATGAAGCAACAAATATAGTGACCTAATCATCTTTCACATCAAACTCATGTCAGGAACTCTTCCCATACAAAAAATCTTCACTAACAATATCTAGACCAATAATTTGATTCCTACTGTCTATGATGCAAACTTTATACTGAAAGCATACAACATATATTTAAATGTCCAATAGCTTCAGAAGAGGCTAACCAAATTATTAAACAAACCAACCTTATTCTCTACCCCAATGGTGATTCAAAACTGATAAATCACATATGGCAGGTTGTAAAGCTAACATGTGGTATTACTGATGGTATCTTCTCACTATTAGACCTTAACAAGTGGGTACAAGTATCAACTGAAGCTCTAATGCAATTATATAATACCATATGAAAACCACGATGTACTACAGTCAACACCTTCCCACAAAATGATATAAAATAGAAAGACAAATTCTCCAGCGACACAATCAAAGACAATCAAGCAACTCCCAAATTAAATCCACAAAAATCTCCATTCATACAAGAGCCAACAACAACAACAATTGATCTACCTACCTTGATCACAGACATCTATATTCAAAGCAATTTTAACATTTTCGAGTGCATTACTAATCTAATCCAAAGCTATTCCAATCTTATTTCTTCCAACACTAAGTAGATAAACATACTCACTCGGTACTACCTGACAAGATATATTGTTTTAAATTTTATTTTCAATATTAGTCATGTGATTTCTGTAAGCAAGCTAGTATTAAACTCACTGTATTTACAAATGAGAGATATTGTTTCTTTCACGATATATACTTTTAATATACAAATCAAATAAAGAAATAATGTTTACCTATTAAAAAAAAAAAAAAAAAATTACTTAAAGATTTTTTATAAAATATATTATTTAAGTTTAAATTTAATATCTAAAAAAATAATTAATCAAAACTTAATTATTTTTTAATATAAATTTAATATGGATGGAATTGTAATTTTTAAATAAAAAAAATAATTTAAATGTTATTTTTATTTGTTATATAATCTAAAAAAATTTTTTATTTAAGTACTTCTTATAAAATAGCTTATTAAAATTTTTTATAATAATTTTTTAAATAATAATTTTTAAAATAATTTTTAACTTATAAATAAATTTTATTTTTTTAAATTTAAAATAAAAATAAAATTAAATAAATACATATTTTTCAATAAAATTTATATATTTTTTTTCTTATATTCTAAAGAATATTTTTGTAAAATTTTATAAAAATATTGATTAAAAAAAAATGTGTTTTTTTTTGTTCCTGATTATATAATTAAATTAGAAATAAATTAAGTTAATTATTACTAATAATACACCTTAACAAAAAAAAAAAAATATTACTAATAATAATTAATATATAGTATTAATTTTTTTTTTTAAAAAGCTAAAATATAATATACACATGATTTTTATTATCAAATCAGTAAAGATTAAAAATATCTATATGTAAATAATCTATTAATTAATATTAATATTAACTGATACTACATATTTTTTTATTTATTAGGATATTAATTTATACTTTATAAGTATGTTCATATTCTGATTTATATTTAATAAGATCTAACCTTAATTTTAACATGTTAATTGTTATTAGATTTTTTATCACATTTACATTTCTGGCTTATATAATCATAATATCTATAAATTTACTTCTTTATACTTAATAGATAATATTAATTTTATTTATAAAGAAAATATATTATATATGATATATAAATAATATAAATAAATTTATATTTAGAAAATATTTAATGTATAACTTAAATATTAAATATTAATAAAAAATATATATTGTTATATAATTTGTCTTTTTTTTAAAAAAAAAATCCAATTAAAAGATTTATTTTTAGATAGCTTAAATTTTTATAATTAAACTTTTAATATTAATTTATATATAATAAAACTTAAAATATAAATAAAAAATCATATGAGTTTTTAATAAAAATAAAAATTATTTTTTTTAAAAAAATTATTTTTTTGTTTTTAATAATATATTAAACTCACTCTAAATATACATCCTTTAGAATCATAGAAAGATTTTTAAAAAATATGTATTTATAGAGGATATGCATTTATAGAGATAATTATATTAAGAGTTCTATATACTTGGAACCAAGCTTGATCATGCATTTAAAGAAAAAAAATATAATAAGTACATTTATAGAGGATGCATTTAAAGAGATCTCTATAATAAAAAAATGTTTTTGAAAAAAAATAACTTGACAAACTTTTATTTTATTTTATTTAAAAAACAAATATAATATAATATAATATTTTTAATTATTACTATATTTTAATTTAAAATAAAAATTAAACTAGCAATTTATTATTTAGTAAGCTATTATATTTATTTATTATATACTGTATAATATAATGATAAAAAATCTTTATTTTTAAAAAAAATTAATAAAAATTTTTTGAAAATATAAACCAGTTAAATATCTTTTAGCACGAGTAATTTGCTTTAAATGTGTAAAATAACGCAAATACTAGAGTTACACGTACATCTTCAACCATAACGTTTTCCGGTGAAAATTTCCTTTTAATGTATTTATTTGTTGTTCCAAGTGGAAATGTCATGCGGAATCCTTACCGGAAGTTTCATCGAACATTAGATAATAATTTCAAATAGAGTAATATGCTCAGCATGAGTTTTACAACTCTTTTCTAGTTTTTACTAACAAATTCGTTGTCATAATAAATATATCTATAATTTTCATATACAAAAAAAAACGTTCTATTACAATTGCTGATTAAGCAAAGCAAAACTACTATTTCACTCTAATAAAAACTTGTCAAGATGACAGGTGAGTAATATAGAAACTGAATAAACGTTTCATAAAGGCCTAGAGCAATTTCCACTCTTGGGTTTATTTGCAATTTACTTTGACCTGCTTCGTTCGAGACTTTCGTAAGCTGCCTAATTGGAAGAAACGTTGTCTCTGCAAAAGAAACTTATTAGAGTCAGTTCAGCTGAGCTTTAATAAACTTAAGTCAGCTTTAGCGTTCTTTAATAATACTCTCATTTCTAGTCATCCCTTTACTCTTTTACTTTGCCTCGCGCTGTACACGTCCTTACCTACAAACTTTTGAAACCTTTTTTTTTTTCAATTATCTAATTTCTATTACGCAATGAATTTTGCATTTTTCTGTGAACTCTAAATTTCATCCCTCTGTACCCCTTTAGAGTAGTCTACGTAGTCAATATATTCCATTTTCTTGTACTTTTCTTTGTACATCGCCCCGTTTGGATCATCATCGTTGTCATCTACAAGATTCTGATCTTCGCGCGACTTATTTCATTCTATTTATATTTTCGCCGTGTTTTTAACACTTATTTTACTAGAACAATTTATTGTATCCATTATGCACGATTATTTACACGTGCACTTTACGTTATTGCAATTTAAACGCGCAACTTAATGGATTATTATTATTACAAAAGACGCTTTCCGAAATATAGATTTCAACATTTACCAGCCGATACCGCTAAAATGTTTGATTTACCTCATCTCTATCCCTCTTATTCTCATATAGGCCGAGAGTTCATGGAACTTGATCCTGAACTTTACGGATTACGAAGGTCTCGACGTATTAATACCGAACGTCCTGTAAGCTACAGAGTATGTTGACTTTCCACTCGTTCATTCAAAAGTAGATGCATGATATACATTGTGACGTTGAACTGTCTTGTTTGAACACAGGATCCCACTTCTTCTTCAGAGAACTCAGACGCTGATGAATATGACTCTTCTAATCCACGGAAAAGAAAGAAGGAAGGTTTAAATGGCAAGAAGTCTGTCCCCACAAAGAAAACTAGATTGAAAAGATCACAAGGTAAATGTTAAATGTAACATTTCTTCTATGATCAGAGATTTCCTTTCATGTTTGAATTGCGCCTGTTTTTCATGTATGCAATTAATATTTATTCATTGTGTACCTTATTTTGTGAATTTTAAATACACTGCTCAGATGGCGAACATTGGTCTGCGTCTGGTACTAACGACGAGAGCGGATTTGCCTCATCTCCTCAAGCAAGCAAGCCGAGCACTACGTCCGCCTCGGCATCTGTCTCTGATGATTATGATTGGACTTTTTCGAACAAGGCGTCTTCTTCAAAACCAAGAAAGAATGCTTTTATCTCTGCAGAAGACTTCGTTATGGAAAATCGATATTCGAGGCGTACTCGTACTATCACAAACTACAATGAAGATGAACTCGATAGACAGCTTGGATTAGAAGTTGATGAAGATGAAATACAAGTAGAGGAATACTATCAACCCGAAGAAGGTGAGATGCTAAAATTTCGAGCGTGCGAAACTCTGTTGAACCAACATTTACCGTTCTTTTTTTTTTTTTTTATGTAGAAGAAAGCGTTATAGAAAGCATTCATGACATACAGAGAATAGAAGGAACTGGTATGTGCTCAATCCTTAATTTATGGGTTACTAGCATTATTTATGTTACTTTCTCAGTGACATTTATTTGGAAATAGATGTAGACGAACCTCTGGATCCAAAGAAAAACATGGAATTTCTAATCAAATGGAAAGGATGGAGTCATTTGCATGATACCTGGGAAACATACGAGAACCTTCGTGGCTTGAAAGGCTTTAAGAAGTTGGAAAATTACGTCAAGAATTATTTGCACGAAATGGAAATGTTATCCGAAAGTCCAGAGGACAAAGAAACAATTAACGTAAATAAGGAAATGAATCGAGACATATTAAAAGATTACAGAACCGTTGAACGCATCATCGCCGAAAGGACATCTACCCCCACAGATGAAAATCAGTACCCTACTACCGAGTACCTTTGCAAGTTTAAACGTCTTTCATACCAAGATTGCACTTGGGAATCGTCCGAAAGTATTCAAGTCGATTTTCAAGCGGAAATTGTTTCCTTCATTAATCGTAATCGTAACCCCTGTGTTCCTCACAAGAGCAAGGTATATTCCAAAAACAGGCCTTCTTTTAAGCCACTGACACAGCAGCCTCCCTATCTAGTTGGTGGGGAACTACGTGACTTTCAACTTACAGGTTTGAATTGGCTTGCACACTTATGGTCTCGTAATGAAAATGGTATTCTTGCTGATGAGGTATTTCAAAATGATGATTCCGTTAATTTTTCATTGAGCATTTGGGACTTCAACTTACTTTCTTATTTTTTATGTTTCCGACTCAAGATGGGACTTGGAAAGACGGTTCAAACAATTTCATTTCTTTCATACCTTTACCATTCCATTGAGCAATACGGACCTTATCTTATTGTCGTACCGTTGTCAACTATTGGATCTTGGCAAAATGAGTTTCAAACCTGGGCACCCGAACTTAACGTTATCTATTATTCAGGCCCAACCCAAAGTCGGGAGGTAATACGAGAGAACGAATTTTATATTCCTTCATCGTCTGGTAGCAAGAAACTTAAATTTAACGCCTTAGTAACGACCTACGAGTATATACTGAAAGATCGACAGGAGCTTGGCGCCATTAAATGGCAATTTCTGGCTGTTGATGAGGCGCATCGTTTGAAAAACAGTGAATCGCAACTTCACGAAGTCCTTTCGACATTTTATACTACAAATCGACTTTTGATAACCGGTACACCTTTGCAAAATTCTGTCAAAGAATTATGTGCACTAGTAAACTTTCTCATGCCTGACTTCGAGATAGCTGGGGATATTGATATTGATGCGCCCGATGAAGAGCAGGAGGCGAAGATACGTGAACTTCACAAAAGCCTTGAACCTTTTATGCTTCGTCGTCTCAAGAAGGATGTGGAAAAGTCTCTTCCACAGAAGACTGAAATGATATTAAGGGTCGGCTTGTCACCCTTACAAATGCATTATTACAAAAATATTCTCACAAAGAATTTTGATGTGCTTAACGAGGGCGTTGCTGGGTCCTCTCAGATGAGTCTCCTAAATATAGCAGTCGAATTAAAGAAAGCAAGTAACCATCCATTTTTATTTCCGAATGCCGAAACTGTTGTCACCAAGAAAGAAGAACAATTGCGTGGAATAATAGCGAGTAGCGGGAAGATGGTGCTTTTAGACAAATTACTAACCCGACTAAGGGAATCAAATCATCGCGTCTTAATCTTTTCTCAGATGGTCCGACTGCTGGATATTTTGACTGATTATCTTAGGCTACGTGGATACCAGCACCAACGCTTAGATGGTGGTGTCCCTTCCGAGGCACGTAAAAAGGCCATCGAACATTTTAATGCGCCTAACTCTACCGATTTTGTATTCTTATTGTCGACCCGTGCCGGAGGATTAGGTATTAATTTGAATACGGCTGACACGGTCATTATATTTGACTCTGATTGGGTACGATTTTCTTAAACCATATTTTTCTTTTGGTGCAATCGATTAGTATCTAAAATTTATTTAATTGTGTAAACCAAAGAATCCTCAAAACGATCTCCAAGCCATGGCCCGTGCTCATCGTATTGGTCAGAAGAATCACGTGAACGTTTATCGGTTTGTATCAAAGGACACTATTGAAGAAAGCATTCTCGAGAGAGCAAAACGAAAAAGGGTTCTTGAATATTGTATCATAAAGCAGATGGATACATCAGGTAAAAACATTCTCCAAAAAAACCCCAAAACAAAGTCGTCCGAGAATTTTAGTCGAGAAGAATTGACTGCTATTCTCAAGTTCGGGGCCCAAAATATGTTTAAAGAATCAGAGAACTCGAAAAAACTGGATGATCTAGACTTAGATGACATTTTGGCTCGAGCGGAAACTCATGATACCGCTGGTGTTCAATCGAGTAGTAGTTTGGGAGGTGAAGAGTTTCTGAAGCAGTTTAAAGTGGCAGACTTTGATGGAGCCGACATCAACTGGAGTGATATCATACCACAAGAAGAGAGGGACAAATTTGCTATGGAAAATGCAGAAGCCGAACTCGAGTATGAAAATAAAGCTGGCTTGAAGAGAAGCGCAGTATCTCAAGGCGGTCGTTCCGAATTAATAGATCCGATGTCTTCGGATAATGATCTGCCATTAAAGAAGAAGACCAAAGCGATTCGCAAGAAGAAAAAGTCCCAAACAAGTCGAAAGAAATACATGGATTCAGATGAAGAGGATCGTCCAAAGAAGTCTAAATCGAATCGCAAAAAATATGTTGATTCTGATGGAGAGGAGCGTCCAAAGTCTAAAACGAATCGTAAAAAGAAATCAAATGGTGACCGTCATAGGTATGAAGATTCAGATGGAGATGGACAACCAGATAGAAAGTCAAATAGCAGTAGAAAAAAGTATGTTGATACTGATGATGATGATGATGAGGATCACGATCGTTCAAGGAAGAAGACGAACGGGAGCAGAAGAAAACATTCCGAATCGGGACAAAAATCTGGCGATTCGAATTCGACACGTGATCTAACTATTAAGGAACTGAGAGCTTTGTATAGAAGTGTGCTGAAGTTTGGTGACATCCGTCAGCGTTATGAAGATATCGTGAACGATTCAGATTTTCACGATAAGAATGAAGAAAAACTTTTAGAGTCTTACGACGCTCTTTATGCAACTTGTGAAAAAGCTGTTAGAGATTACGGGACGGCCGACACCAATCAAATCGATCCGCAATCTCGCTCTATCCCAAATCCTCGTGGTAAAGCAATTCAAGTCACTTATAACGGATGCGACAAGATAAATGCGGGCATGCTCATCCAGCGTGTTTCTGAATTGGGCACATTGAACAAGAAAATGAAATGTGTATATCCATTTACAATATTAGCAAGTTTCTTTGAATTTTGATATTTGAGCATATTCTAACAAATATCGCATCACCTTTTTATAACAGACACAGAACCCGAAAAGTTCAGAATCAAAGCAACAACGAAACCTACCAACAATTGGTCGGTGACTTGGGGTCGTAAAGATGATCAGATGCTCTTGGTCGGAATTTATAAACATGGATTTGGTAATTGGAAAGCGATCGAGGATGATCCCTCGCTCGGCCTTTCAGGTAAACTTGTTGATGAGGAAGGTGACTCTCGATCGGCCTCCGCCCAAGTAGCAAAAGTCAACCGCCGGGCCGACTACCTCTTGAGATTGGTGCACGAGTTACATATGGATGAGGAGGAAGAAAAGAAGGTTTGTATGCACAATACTTTAATTATCTTTGAAATTTCCTTATTTATTTTTTTTTTTTGAACTCATTACTCACATTTTGTTATTGTAGAGGAGACGAATTAAAATTCGTCGTGAGGATGATTCTGCCCACGCCCAAGACGTTTTACATTCGAAGAAAAAGAAATCGGGTGAAAACATTCAAGAACCATCTGATCGTGAGTGCAAGGAGCTTCTACGCCCGGTCAAGGAGAAACTTCAATGGCTCAAGAATGTAAATATATTTGTTCATGATGGGATCGATCGACTTAAATCAATTTATAATAAATCTTTTATTTTACATTTAAAATTATGTTCTCAGGAATCAGGCAAGTATAATGGAAAGGAAAAAGCGAGACGCATTAAAGAGTCGCTGAAAGTTATTGGCACAAGGATCGGAGATATTCTTTCCACAAAAACGCCTGGTGAATATTCTCAATGGCAAAACAGTCTGTGGCAATTCGTGACATATTTCTGGCCCAAAAACGACATAGATCCGGAAAAGCTAATCGAACTGTATCATAAGGTCGAAGCCGCCGATTCTTCGAGACAGACATAAACAATCAACTTCTGTTATTTGTTATTTGAAGAAATTAGGTCCTTCCCCTCAAAAAAAATATATATATATATATGTATATGTACATATATATACAAAGAAAAAAAAGGAGGGGGGCGGAGACAGATGCCAAAACGTAAGGAAGGAAATAATATCTTAAATGTTCTTAAAAATCAGGCGATAAGTCTTAATGGTTGATTTTTTCAGTAAAGATTTGATTTCTTTCTTTTTTCCCTTTTCTTCTTCGTAATTTTAAATAGCGCACTCTGTCGAAGTTGCAATCAACTTTTTGTAGTTAGGGCATCTAAAGTAATTAGAGGGCGAATTGAAGGAAATGGACAATGGACAATATTAAGAAATTAACCAAAAATTTTGATGGTGATCGCCATCATTGTAAAAAATTAGTCAAAATTAGTCAAAAAATTTAGACGAAACGATCCCAAAAATTGTTATATTTGGTGGGTTTTTGTTTCATCATTGTATATTTTTTGCATTTCTGGATTTTTAACCGAATCCTAATTGTAAATACAAATAATCATGTATAAAATCGAAGAAATTAAAAATATATTAATGCATGTGTAAATTATATTATTGAACATTGTGCTCTCACATTTCTTTTCGAGATAAAATAGATTTCATCAAGCTGTTGATTTCACTTCATCAAAGTGCATTTACATTTACGAATCGAAGTTTATGTATTTTAAATGATAATAATTTCTTGAAGCAGACTTACTATTCTAGCGTTCAAAAAAAATTGACCAATTAGGATGTGATTTATATAAAACCATATAGTAGATGTCACTGATCCTTCACCATCTTACCAATGGCTGATAAAGAGAATCCTATAGTTTTTTTTGACATCTCCATCGGTGGTCAACCGGCTGGTCGCATGAAAATGGAACTTTTTGCGGACGTGGTTCCAAAAACGGCCGAAAATTTTAGGTACTGAGTCGAATGAATTCCTCGAGAAAACATCTGCCTTCCAAGTGGATCACTATTAATGAGTCAATCTTGTACTTAGACAGTTTTGCACAGGTGAATATAAGTACGTGATAAAGTATTTCTTTAAGGTAATTCATACCCCTGAACCGTTCTTATTTCTAAATTCCTGCTAAATCCAATTTGAATAAATTAATATTTTGCAGGAAAAACGGTGTTCCTCAAGGGTACAAGTCAGCGACTTTTCATAGGTAGATTGAAATACGCGTTTAGCATTCTTTACATTTGTTCGACATGATTTGATGACATTCTTTTATAAAGGGTTATCAAAGACTTTATGGTTCAAGGTGGAGACTTCGTAAAGGTACCTGAATTCGAGAAAAAAACGATTTTTTTAAATATCCAATCTCGCATTGACAGAAATTACATTCTATCTAATTACATTCTATCTAATTCAGGGCGATGGAACAGGTTCGAGTAGCATATATGGGGAAAAGTTTCTGGACGAAAATTTTGACATCAAACACACAGGTCCTGGACTGCTTTCAATGGTTAGTGGTAATGTGTAGAATATTAACAGATATCAATTTCGCTAATATTTAATTTATGCATAAAAAATCAGGCAAATAGCGGTCAAAATACAAACGGATGTCAGGTATTTATTTGAACCAAAAATTTTAATTCAGAGAATTTTTCAATATGGATCTTGACTAAACGCCGATTGTTTATACAGTTTTTCATTACGTGCGCCAAGTGTGATTTTTTGGATGGAAAACATGTCGTCTTTGGAAAACTCATTGATGGATTATTGACACTAAGAAAAATTGAAAATGTTTCCACGGGACCTGGGAACAGACCAAAATTGCCAGTGGTCATTACCGAATGTGGACAGTATTAGAAGACAAACTAATAACATTCTAGGAAATATTCTTTTCGTATTGGTTAATTGTTTCACATTGATTACTGGCGTCAATTGTCAAGAATCAAAAGCTCGATCAGACTCAACACATTCGTTTGATATTGTAATTGTTAATCAAAAATTTTTTGTCTCGTGACTTAATTTTTTGAACACTTATGGCAATTGTATCACCATGACATTTAGGCCCAACCGAAACTCTATTTTTAATTATCTTATTACTTGAAAATAATATTGAGAAATCTTAATCTTGATTCTCTATTAAATTTATCATGCTGAGATTTTCCTATTGGCATCCATAAATTGGTTTAGGATTTCATCGGTTATCTCAGATTTACGCTTCAAGAGAATTCAGTGTTAGCATCAAAAATATGTAATCTCAACATTCGAGCACAAAAATTTCAATTCACCTTTTGAAAACCACCAACGAATTCTTGTAATACATTGATACATCTTGCTTTTAATTCTCCAGTCAAAAGTTTTCCAGATTTATATTCCTATGTAAAATGAATGGTTATCGAGTAAATTAATTTCTAGTAGAATAACATAAAGCATTTTAGATTTTTATCTCTTACCTGGCGTATTCTATTCAATTCCTCGTCATCATCAAGGAATACGAACAGATACTGAAACGCAACATCAACTTCCGGATTTCCTCCATTTAATCTATGTAGCTCTATAGTGTCACCACCACCCGAATAGGCATACTTGTTAATCTATACATTATGTGACGTTTAATTTGTGATATTCAATGACCTGAAAACGAGGAACCACATGACGATCAGCGAATTAAAAAGTTGAAAAACCTTCTTCTTTATTTGATTTGCGGTATCCGACATGAAGATCGCGGAGTTATCCACTGACGCGCTCATTTTTGTTTGAGGGCCCTAATTTGAAAGTTCTCATGAAACATATCTGATGGACACGAATGACATATCGTTAACGGATTGACCACTTACTTGGAGAGCAGGGAAAAATTTAGCATGAATTAGACATGGTTTGGGATATTTGAGTCTATGTGCGACATCGCGCGTCAATCTAAAATATGGGTCCTGAATTTATTTATTAATTTGCTTTAAGAAAATAACCACAAGACAACTCTTTGATGAATTACTTGATCAATTGCGCATGGAATCAAACAAGGAATATCTGATCGGCTACCAAATATTTGGGGGAAGCTATTGGAAAATGATGGTGCTGCTTGTATAGCAACGAAATGAATTTTTCCTATGCAATCACTTCAAATAAAGAATTTTTTTAGAAAATCTAATTTCCATAATATGAATAAAATCTTAATGCATACCTGTCGTTGAATCCAAATGTGGCCTTTGATTGACTAGCTGTGATACACTTTGAGATTCTTACAATGTTGTGATAGAATTCTTTTCTACAGTGACAATAAAGTGAATCTTGTCAACTGTTTAAGAATTATTTTTCAAGAATTATGGCAACACAACTAACCCGACATAATCGAGATTAGAAAATATAAACGTCTTTTCCAGTTTAAAACCGCATGCAATAATGTCCTTGGCGTTTTCTTTTGAAAATTCACGTACTTTTTCTAAAGTGAGCTCTGATTTGAAGAGGAATTTTTCATCATCTAAAAACAATTCGATACATTCGTTAATTAGGGACTTAAGAATTCGATTCGTCAAAATAATATGCACCTGTCAACTGAATTACGATTGGCACGTCGAAAACTTCTTGCAACCACCTAAAAGCCTAGATTTATTATTGAACCTTTTGTAATGAGCTCCTCTGCACAAGTAACACGTATATTCCTTACTGGCAAAATACAAAAGGAATCATATGTCCTAAATGCATGCTAGTGCTACTAGGCCCGCGTCCCGTGTAAAGAAAAAACGGTTTCTTTTGCTCATATCGATCCAAAATTTTTTCGAGTTCTCTGCGAATCGGATTGTTATTGTAAATTCCTCTTGCAATTTGATGTGGATTATTGTGATTTTAAATACCTGTGAGAAAAGAAAATCCCTCTTCTCAGAAGTACATGACATTTTTTCCCAGTTAGGGCCTCAAATCTTTTCAAGAGTTCTTCATCAATGTGTTTCGTCCCAAACTGTTCGATCAGTTTATCGTAATCAATTGCTTGAGCCTGACCATCTACAACGGCTCCTTCAACAGTCCAGGGCGTAATTATTTGTCCACGAACATCATTTTCGCTGAGTGAATTCAGTAATTAGTGCTAATGTATCGATAAACCATACAGGCGAAAATTAATATTTACGTATTAGACATCTGTTCGTTCATTTACTTTTTGAAATATCAAACAGCACTGTAGCTGCAGCGCTCAAAGCAATTACTATAAACTAGATATAAATGCAGTCGTAAAATTGACTTGAATCATTGTCATATTTATGTGAGAATTTTCGATCATGTGCAAGCTCGATGTTGGTCTATCATATCTAAAAAAAAATATGTAATGACATACTGTATTTAAGCAATATTTTTAAGAGTCTTGCTTTATTAACATTTTAATACTTTATATACAGTATGTTTTATACAGAGTAGGTTTTTGCTTATATATGGATTGTTGTCAAAAGACAAAGGCTTAAGCTAACATGCAAAGGTTCTATTAGTTTGTATAAAAAAGTTTTGAAGATATAGTTTAGATTTTTATTAATTGTTTTGTATTCAGTTGCTGATAAGATATTCTTGTATATGTTTAATTAAATACTTGTTCTTGTTAAAGAATTATTTGTTCTTAAATTGATTTTTATTTTGTCTTGTTATCTAATTTTTTTTTTTAATTACAAGCAAGCATTAAATATAAGACTTTTTATTAAACAAGAGTTTATAATATAACATTAAAAATCTTTATATAAACATAAATTAATTTTAGCCTATTACAATTTTTATTATGGTTATCAATTGGTATCAAGTAAGTGTACTTATATTATAATTTAAGCTAAGCCTATTTTACTTGTAAAAAAAATCTTTTTAATAAAAAATTTTTTTTATTTTTATAATTCTATTCTTTTTTGCAATAGATCACCAATTTGAATTGTAATATAATATATATAATTTTATTAATCTTTTAAAGATTATGTGTATATAATAAAAAATAAAAACAAATAATAATAAATATTAAATAAATAATAAATATTAATTAATCCAATTAATTAATATAGTATCAAACTATTTATAAAAATATAACTTATAATTCAAATAAATTAAATATGATTAATAATAAAAATTATATTAATATTTTAACAATTATCAATAATTATTTTATATTTAGTTTGAATTTTAAATATTAAATATTATATAATTAATGTTATATGATTTAAAAATATTATATTATATATATATATTGTAATCAAACAAGTATATATAAAGTTTATTTAATATTAATATATAATATATAATGGTTTTATAACTTTTATGCATAAACTTTTTATAAATAATACTTGAATATCTATCTTTAATAAAACTATCTTTAGATATAATCTTGAAGATAAATAAAATTATTTGTTCTTATATATTTTTTTTAAAATATATTTTAAAATTATTATTTATAGTTCATTATTACAATTCATTTTTTTAAAATCTTGATTATATTTTATATTTCTAATTATTTTTTCTTTTCCTTAATCTTGTTTTAAAAAATTTTTTTGAATTTCTTTATAAGTTTTTCTTTATCTTTTTTGTTATTTAATAGATTAATATAATTGATTTTTTTTTTACTAGAACTTGAAAATAATAAAGTATATTTTTTAAATATAATTTTTTTTTTCTTTTGTAATTTATTAAAATTTTTTTTCTCAAATAAACTTAATAGTCTTAGTAATTTTAATAATATTGTTAACTCTATCTCTTTCACTTTTTTTTTTTCTAATCTGTATTTTAATAATTGCATATATTCTTAAACTTTTTCATATCTGAAGTTTCATATATACAATTTAAGAAACTTGTATCATATCTTGAATATCTTAATTTGCAATTTGCATATATAGGTATAAGAGATCTTTGCAATTTAAAAATTTGTTTTTTATTCCAAGATATCTTTTTTTTAAAAAATCCAATACTTAGATTAATTATCTCTTTGACAGATTCAA